ACATGTGAACCTTCCGTTTATTTCTCTATTTACAACCAAGTAAAAAGTTCTGGAATTTGGCTTTACTTCCCTGCCTATAATTTACAAATAAAGGTGAAATTATATCTTCGGTCACTCTAATGAGGTTATTTTGGCAGGAGTTTCCTTGGTAGCGCACACATGTTCTTATTTATATTTAAATGCCTACACAATTAATTTCTGATAGGGTAAGGGTAAGGTTTATGGTTAGGGTTAGGGTAAGTGTTACGGTTATGGTTGGGGTAAGGGTTAGGGTAAAGGTTAGGGTTAGGCTAAGTGTTTAGGGTAGGGTAAGGGTTAGGTTTATGGTTAGGGTAAGGGCTGGGGTTAGGGTAAGGGTTAGGGTTAGCGTTAGGCTAAGGTTTAGGGTAAGGGTTAGGGTAAGGGTTAGGTTGGGATAGTGATATCGCATGTAAAATGCCCCAAGTTTCTGTCTTATGGAATGCGTTGGAGTAGGCATTTAAATATAAATAAGAACAAATGTGCGCTACCAAGGAAACTCCTGCCGTTATTTATCTCAGTTGCCTTCACCTTATTGCCAACGGTCGCTCACATTTCAGGTTTCTTTTTCGCAATCATAGTTAAGTTTATGTTTTATCTGACCTTACGAAACTCATAAGTATTCTAATCAAATATTTTCCAAGGGCAAGCTCGCGGCTTCGTACATATTTAACTAAGATTTAGTGCTATACCGGTTTAAAGTAATTATATTAAACGGTTGGATTCAATTGACCGGCCGCGGTAGCTTACCTACAGCGCATATTATATTTGTTTCCACTCAAAATATCCATAAAACTGGATTTATTTAAGTTATATTCAAGCACAAAGACGTAAACCTTTATATTCTTTCAAGTACTTTTCGTGAAGTGCTACATACTAATTACTTTAGCATAGCACCAGATTTTATACCGATGCAGGATATTCTTCTTTGTATAATTCAGCATAACTACTAATGCTAACTTAACAACGCCAGTGTTTTACTGCACAAGGCAGTGGCTTTTCCGGCTGTTGGGACAAACCGGACGCTAGTTATCACTCGGGCAATCCCGACGGTACCTGAACAAAGGGTCCTTACTGACGACCGGTTCATGCAGTTACAAACGACCTTCAGAGAGCGGACATTAGGCCAGGACAATGGAGGCCCTCGCTGAGGACAGATGCACAGGCGCGCGTTAGGGAGTCCGCGCATGGCCACTCATGGAGAGCCAATGGGGAGCAATGATTACTGCCCCTTAAATAGCGAGGCTGCGACCAGAACGGGACTCTGTTGTTGGAGACGTTGCCGACGACCAGAGACTCGTTTGCCCTAGGCGATAGAGAGTGCTGCCGAGACGAGACCGACCACAGAAGACAAGCCGCTGGACACACAGGAAACAGAG